TTTCACTGTTTTTTGTTATAAAAAAAATCTAATTTTTGCATGCTTAATTTACACAAAATGTCAGAAATCTGCACCGTCATGAACAAAAATTTAAATGATTTAACCCTCTGAGGTCCAAAATATGACTGGTTATTTTTGACTCCTTTTGATTTTACATTTGTATTTCACCTTTCAATTGTTTCAGTTTTTTTCCTGTCTTGCTTGGTATCATTCTTTACAGCTCAACCTCACATGTATTAATTTTGTTGTTTTTTTCATTGACATACTGTATTATCACAACTAATCTGAAATCACACAAAAAACACAAAATCCTTTTCACACATTTTGTAAACATTTTCAACTATTTATCTAAAAATACACCTGGAACCATTTAAAAATATTACTCTAACTAAAAAGAGAGAACAACCGGGTGTCAAAATAAGATGCCCCACAAATTATTATGTGTTTGTCGGACACAAGACAGAGGAGAACCCCACAGAGATAAACCCTGCAGGCCTGACAACAGGAGTTGTGTCACTCCTCTGGTTTTCTACCTGGTCACAGTGCTTACATTGCAATCTGCCTTTATGACAGTCATTAGTACCCTCACTGACACACAAATGAAAACAACGACTACACAACACACTAACTACACACTCAAAGCGAAACGTCACAAATCTCCCACATCTAAAAACTCGATATCAATATCTCTCTCTCTCTGTCACTCGCTCTGTCTCGCTGCTGTCTTTTCCAAAACTTTCCCCTCTTCCTATCTGTCCTTAGAAAATGCTCTAAAAGAAAACAAAACAAAAATACAAAACAAAACATGACAATAGTATTTAGAAAAAAGCATGGCTTATATTATATTTTTTCTATCATAACTCTGAATTTACTGGCCTGTAATTAAAATTTAAAAAACGGTGTATACTTTGAAGTCCGAACTTTCAACACGGGCTGAAAGACTCAGCGTGGCTGCAGCTTGTTGCTATGTCAGCTTAAATCAGACATGTGATTCGGAGGTGCAGCGTGCCTGTGGACCACAGAGGGTTAATAACACTCACCTTCATTGTGTAACAACCAACCACCTGTGTGAAATCTGAAATTCCCATGGTGTTCTTCGAAATGTGCTATGGGCTGAACCTCTTGTTAATGGTGGAGGGGGGTAACACTATGCAGTATATTCATTTGTAGAATTTATATTCACTGCTAACTGTAACTGTGCTCAAAGTGTTAATGCTATCTTATTTTAAAACACAACACTGTCGTATGCAAAAGTAGGGTGGTACTTGGGGTGGCAAGAGATCATATTAGGGTGGTACATGCCAACCTTCTAGATCTGCCCCTGGCAGTCAGCTCCCACTGACCGTGACTTGAGAACTTAATGATTTTAACAATCATCAGATGTTTCTTGTGTTATGAAACAAGCAATAACCTTGGTAATGCGACACCTTTTTATAGGCCATCACTTGGTACTGAGGATTGGCAGGGTTGCTTTCTAATTACTGATAGATTTCAGCTGGTGTCATTACTTTCCATGCCTTCTTGCACCTCCCTTTCTTCTTGTGTTTAATACTTTTCCCCTGTATTAAACTCATTATTACACATCTTGATTTACCTTCCTGTTGTATTTGGGTCAAACCTGACCCATTTACAAATTAAAACACTCATTTGATTACCTCAAGGCCTTATGACATCCTCCACACTATGCATTTGAACATATAAAAGTAATGAGTACCTCTTTCATTTCAGTGTTATGTTAATTTAAGAGCTGTTAAAACAGACCAGTCAATTGTTACCGGGAACACTAAAGTAAGGGGGGTGGGGATGCACACAACAGGAGGGTTTATGGGCAGTTCTAGTTTCTTTGCATATATCGATTGGATATGTTACAAATCAAATCAAATCAAATCAAATCACTTTTATTGTCACATCACATGTGCAGGCACACTGGCACAGCACATGCGAGTGAAATTCTTGTGTGCGAGCCCCACAAGCAACAGAGATGT